ATGCTTATTTCTGCATTTGCAAATCCTTATTTTAAGAATCGCCTAAAGTTTCGTGTATATGAGCCCATGGATCAGGCGCTCGAAGCGCTTATACTTACACCATTCTTTAATGCCCACTTTTGCATTTACAAATCATTTTTAAAGAATCGCCAAATTTCTTAATTTTTTATGTGTATTAGCCCAAAGATCTAGCGCTTAGCTCACCCAAAAAAATTTTCTCAAAAACTTTTATATGGAACTCCGTAATGACTTGAGAATATTCACTTATAATCACACCATTTTTTAACACTCATTTATGCATTTACACACTTTATTTTAAGAATCGCCTAAATATACGTCTGTAATGATTTGGGGAATCTGGCGCCCAAAGAACTAATATAATTTTCTCAAAAATCTTAATGAGAACTTCCGTAATGATTTGGGAAACCTTCACGTAAACTCACACCATATTTTAAAAACCCATTTTCGAATTTGTAAGCATTTTTTAAGAATTGCCCAAGTTCCCGATTTCTCTTGTATTAGCCCAGGAATCTTGCGCGCGGAGAACCCAAAGTAACTTTTTCAAAAAAAAAATTATGAGGACATTTGTAATGAATTGATGAACTTTCATGTATACTCACTTTGAACGCCCCCAATTTCCGCATTTACAAGCTCTTTTCTAATAATCGCTCAAATTCAATAATTTTTGTGTATTAGCCGATGGATCAATCACTAGAAGCACCAATAATTTTTTTTCTTAAAAAACTTTATGAGAACCTCCGTAATGAGTTTGGGAACCTTCACGTATATTCACACAATCCATTTTTGCAGTTACAAGCCCTTTTCTAAAAAATTGCTCAAATTTCCTAATTTTTTATGTGTGTTAATTTATGGAACTGGCAACAAGAGAAACCCAAAAAAATTCTTAAAAAACTTGATGAGGACCTTCTTACTTAGTTGGGGACCTTCACATATACTCACTTCGTTTTTAACGCCCATTCTGCATTTACAAGTCCTCTTTTATTGCCCAAAATTCCTGATTTTATTTGTGTGTTAGCCCATGGATCTATCGCCCGCATAACTCAAGTATTTTTCTCAAAAAACGTTATGAGGACCTCTGGATGAGTTTGGAAATTTTCACATATGCTCACATCATTTTAAGATTCATTTCCTCATTTACAAGTCCTTTTTTTACGAATCGCCCAAATTCACCAATTTTTCGTGTGTATTTAATTAGCCCATGGATCTGGCGCCCAAAGTACCTAAAAAAATTTCTCAAAATACTTTATGAGGACCTCCGTAATGAGTTAGGGAACCTTCTTTTATACTCATATCATTTTCTAACGCTCAATTCTGCATTTACAAGTCCTTTATTAAAAATCGCTCAAATTCCCCTAATTTTTTGTGTGTATATTAGACCATGGATCTTGCGTCTAGAGAACCTAAAAAAATCTCAAAAAACTTATAAGGACCTCCGTAGTGAGTTGGGTAACCTTCACGTATACTCATACTATTTTTTTAAACACCCACTTCAATATTTACAATCCTTTTTTAAGAATCTCCCAAATTTCTCAGTTTCGGGTATTAGCCCATGAAGTTGGTGTCCGTGCCCCCTAAAGATTTTTTTATTAAAACTTTATGAGGACGTCTTGATTAGTTTGGATACCTTCACATATGCTAACACCATTTTTAACGCTCATTTTTGCATTTACATGTCCTTTTTTGAATAATCGTCCAAATTTCTCAATTTTTCATGTGTATTAACCAATGGATATGGCGCCCGAAGCACCCAAAATTTTTTCCTCAAAATAAATTATGAGGACCTACGAAACGAGTTTAGGAACCTTCACTATACTCACACCTTTTTAATGCCCATTTCTGCATTTACAAACCTTTTTTAAAGAATCGCCCAAATTTCTCAATTTGTCGTGTGTTTTGTACCATGGATCTGGCGACTGGAGGACCCAAAAAAGTTTTCTCAAATTTTTTTTATGAGGACCTCTGTATAGAGTTGGTAACCTTTACTTATGCTCATATCATTTCTTTAACGTTAATTTCCGCATTTGCAAACCTTTTTTCTGAATAAAGAAAACTTTATGAGGGACCTCCGTAATTAATTGGGGAACCACCACATATGCTCACACCATTGTTAACGTCCGTTTTCGCATTTACAAGTCATTTTTAGAAATTACCGATATTCTGAATTATTCTTGTGTCTGGATCTGACTCTCTGGAGCACCCAAAAATATATACTGAAAATTTATTATTAAGACTTGCGTAATGAGTTGAGCAACTACCATTTATATTCACACCATTTTTAAATGTCTATTTTGCATTTACTTGCCATTTTTCTAACAATTACCGCGATACATTGTTTTTTTGTGTGTATCATCGCATGGATCTCGTGCTTCGAAGCACCCAAAAAGAATTTCTATATAAACTTTATGAGGACCTCCCGTAATGAGTTGGAGAACCACCGACATAAATATTTTTTTAATGCCTACTTCCGAATTTACAAGTCTTTTTTTAGAATTTAACTAAATTTTTAAATATTTTTGTGTGTATTATCTCATGGATCAGGCGCCTCATAGCACCCAAAGTTTCTTTCTGAAAAATTATGAGGACCTCTGTAATGAGTTAGGAAATCACCACGTATACTCACACCATTTTTAACACCTATATTTCAGGATTTACAGTCCCTTTTTTAGAAATTACCAAATTTCCTCAATAGTTCGTGTGTATTAGCCCATGAATCTGGTGCTTGGGAGCATCGATAATTTTATGAGGACCTCTTAATGAGTTGCGGAACCACCACATATACTCACACCATTTTTAACACTTATTTCCTCATGTATAACCATTTTTTAGGAATTACCTCGATTTTTGTGTGCATTAGCCCATATGTCTAGCGCCTCAGAGCACCTTTTTTTTTTAAAAAAATAAAATTTATGAGGACCTGTGTAATGAGTTGGGGACCACCACGTATACTAACACCATTTTAACGCCTATTTCCGTATTTATCGACCCTTTTTAGGGATTAACAATTATTTGTGCATTAACCCATAAGCCTAGCGCCTCCGAGCACCCAAATTTTCTTCTGAACTTTATGAGGACCTTCGTAATAAGTAGGGAAACCACCATTTATACTCACACCATTTTCTTAAGGCCTATTTCGGAATTTGCATGACCCTTTTTTTTTTATAAATTACTCAAATTCCTCTATTTTTCATCTGTATTAGTCCATGGTTCTGGCGCCTCGAAACACCCAAAAGAAATTCTGAAAAAACTTCATCAAGAACTCCGTATCGAGTTGGGGAACCACCATGAATACACATACCGTATTTAACGCTCATTTCTGCATTTAAAGACCTTTTTTAGGAATTACCCAATTTAATTGATTAACTCATGGATTTGGCGCCTAGGAGCATCAAAAAAAAATTTCTGAAATATTGTAAGGAGGACCTCAGTAATGAATTGGGGAACCACCACATATACTCACTCCATTTTTAACGCCTATTTTCGCATTTACATGACTTTTTTTAGAAAATACACAAATTTCTCAAATTTTGTGTGTATTAACCAACAAATCTGACACTTTTGAGCACCCGAAAGGAATTTCTGAAAAATTTATCTCTGGATCTCAGTAATGAGTTGGGGAATCACTACGAATGCTGACACAATTTTTCCAACGCCTATTTCCACATTTACATGCCTATTTTTAGGAATTTACGAACTTCTCTATTTTTCGTGTGACCATGATCTGGCGCATCGGAGCACCCAAAAATTTTCTGAATTTTTTTTATGTTGCTTTGTAATAAGTTGGAGGAACCACCATGTATATTCAACCCATTTTAACGCCTGTTTTCGTATTTACATACCCATTTTTAGAAACTATGCAAATTTTCTGATATTTCGTGTGAATTAGCCCATGAATTTGGCGCCTCGGAGCACCCAAGAACTTTTTCTGAAAAAACTTTATGAGGACCTCCGTAATGAGTTGGAGAACCACCATATATATACTCACCCCATTTTTTAATGTTTATTTCCTCATTTGCTGGCCCATTTTAGGAATTATGCATCTTTTCCTCGATTTTTTCGTATGTATTAGCCTATGGATCTGGCGCTTTGGAGCACCCAACATAGAGTTCTGAAAAAACATGTAAAAGGACCTGTCTTCATTCTTGTTTTTCTCAAGAAATAGTTGGAGCCACAATGTTCTTGAAAAAGATAAATATAGTAGTTAGCACAATATGTATTTCATGACGATACACACCATTCCTTAACATAGTTTAAAATTTTTAAATATCTATTATATTGACTTTTTCCTCTTTTTATTTTTTATTTGCTCCGAAAAATTGATTTAAAACATCGAACCAAATTGAACTGAATTATTTTAATTTTGTATAGGATGCACACTTTTCTAAAATCAAAAATGGAAGAACCAAATTGAAGTTTGATAAAACCAAAACTAGCTGCAACCCTAATAGTAACTTTACTATGATTTTATTTTAAAAATTTTAAGCCCAAATTCACATAATAAATTAAAATAAATGAAAGTATAATATATCAAACGATTTCTGTCTTTATTTTGACAGAAAAAAAAAAGGTTGACGTTGTTTGGGAAAGTTGATTGGAAGTTTCTTTTTTTTTGGTGGAGAAAAAGACTTAACTATTTTTTGAGTTTATTAAGAGCATATATTACCAAGGGACGAAATATGTGAATATAACTCTTCAACATTTAAATAGAAGAAAAAAAAGGAAAAACTTTTTTATAATTGAAAAACACCTAATTGATGTGAATGGGATATAAGTAATTAAATAATTTTTTTGACAATTAATTCAATTGATAGAATTAATAGCATAATTGAAAAAAAATACATTAAAAGCACATTATATTTTACATAAGATCATGAAATAGGTGAAATGATTCTCTGCTAACAAGCAGAGCCACTGGCAATCTTCAGATAGGTATGCAACAAATATGGAACAGAGACACAGAAAACATGGATGAAACAAAGACATGAACGCGAAAGAGTGCTGATAGCTCAGACCTCATATTCAAGACAATGTTTCGATGATCGCATCAAAGGCTTAGATGCAGGATAATTCCAACATTCACAAGGACCAGACGTTCATCATTCCAAGTATTACAAAGAAAGATTTAATACGAAGTTACTTGGCTGATACAGATCCAACCACATACATACAGTTTATAAGTGGCTCAAAGATGGCCAATTGTGAAATGAAATGGAAATTCAGAAGGTAGATCCATTCCAGCCAAAGAAGGAACCCTGCAAAATAGAGCAGTAGTTATCAGTTTCCTCAGATTTAGAAGGACGGGATACTTATATGACCGACACTCCTAAAGTAGAACATTATGTTTACAAATACTTGAGGAATCGGAGAAGTACAAAAACTTCTAGTGTTCTTAGACAGTGAAAGTTTATTTACATGATCTAGTACTGGTGTATAGCATGAAGACATTGTGCATATTCTTGACTTTGATGGGCCTAAACAAACAGGAAGAATGCAATGAGAGATATGCGGGGAATTTACTCATCCTTGATGGACTATGAAGCCTGGCACATACCTTAGTATCATAGAATTTCAGGAAAAATCGAGATTTGGGAATAGACAATTTAGTCTCAAGTATGTCAGCTATTGCAGCACTGAGTTTCTTGTTGACATCAGCATTTAAACCCCCAATGGAGACCAACTCTCCATAGGCAGCGGGCTGTTCTGTACCCCCGAAAGCCATGGGAACAGATCCCTTCAACACAATCATGACATACTGCACAATGAAAGCAATATTACTGTACTACAGAGAAACCAAACAACAAACACAAAAGGGATGATAAAGCATGTCAATTGAGCTTCTCAAGAGAGACTAAAGGCAAAACATGATCAGTTACATGCTAAAATGTTCATCAGCTAATGCATTTTCTACAAAGAGGCAATTACTTTCTAGTTTCTACTAGGTGAGACTTATGAATTCATCAAGCAAGATACTGATTATCTTGTAAAGCTAATAGCTTGTAGAACATTAACTGCAAAGTCTAACCCTGTAAGAATTTCTAGAGACAAATCTTCAGGGGCAGAATTACCTTAAAAGCATCCTTGGTCATTGAAAAAAATTGCTAAAATAAAGGTTAATTCATTGCAGTAATTTCAAAAACTTACTAGAACACAAGGTGATTTTCCTCAACTGTCCCAATTCTTCAGGGGCAGAATCACCTAGTGTGTTTTGTCTCACCTGGGATTTGCATGTGAGACCTCATGGTTCTCAACTCACTTCATTGACCACTAGGCCACACCCTTGGGCCCTTTCTTCTATTTTTTCCTTTACATATTATTCCGTCAAACTGATCAACAAAATAATGATATTGACCGACAATAAGCTTCAAGAAAGAAATGTGCATTTTGAAGCCAAACTATTCTATGCTACTCATGTTTCAGTTCTATCTTTGCCTTCCTATCCCAAATGATGGATCCAAGGATAGAAGTATTTAGGATTTGTAAATATTTACTTGTTCTTTTTCTTAAGCAGATAATCCCTAAGGTCAAGTTGGCACACAGGTCAAAACTCAGTGGATATGTATTTTTCTCATTCTTGATTTGAGGTCTTCCTTTGTGATCCTGTATCATTTTATAAGACAGATGTGGAAGTGAAAAAAAATGTTGCAGGTTAGCAGGAGTAAGAATTGTGAAACTGGAAAATGTTTGGTAAATGTCTAAATGATCTCAAACAACTACCAGAAGCACATTGTGTCAAAACATGAGGTCCTAATCAGAGCAAGTAGCAATTAGCCATACAAGATAAAACTCCTCATTCATTGAGGCTAATACATTAAGACCCAAAGTGCTGTTAAGAAAGAAGTGTGCCACCTTAAGTGCCAAAAAAAAAAGAGAGCAGTTGCTCATTACAAACATCTAGAAGTTTTATAGTTTGGAAACTAGACATCCTATTCCTTAATCACTTAAACACAAAAGCTCATGAGTATGTTATTCCATAGCTTTACTACAACGGCCAACCTAAAAGAAAGAAATTGCTCATTACCAACATTTAGAAGAAAGAAATTGCTCATTACCAACATCTAGAAGTTTTATAGTTTGGAAACTAGACATCCTATTCCTTAATCACTTAAACACAAAAGCTCATGAGTATGTTATTCCATAGCTTTACTACAACGGCCAACCTAAAAGAAAGGAATTGCTCATTACCAACATTTAGAAGTTTGAAAGTTCGAAAATAGACGCATCACATTCTTAGCACTTAAAACACAAAAATCACAAGTCTAAACACATTTCACTCTTACATTGCTTCACAACATGATACAAAGTATCAGCACAAGCAAAGAGCATTGCTAACTCTACCATAGGGAAAATGAGAGCCACCTCATATTTCGTTTTCCCCATGAACTTGATTATAATCCTTTCCACTTCAGCTATCTCGAAAAAAGGGTCTGAAACTCAAATGCATTTTTGAGAAGGAGAAGGGAAGTCAAACGCATTTTTCATTATTATGATTTATTCCCAAGCATTTTAAAATTATTTTTAACCAGAAATACTGTGATGACATTTCTATGCTATAAAGCCTCATTGAGGGTAAAAGTTAAAGAGCTTTCAAATATAAAATGGTCCCATTTCTTTTGGTAGACTAACAAGGGAAGAATGTAATATAAAATGAAACAGAGGGAGTGCTACTCCGGTCAAATTTAAGCACGTAAATTTCTACTACATTTGTGAGTCAATCAGATTTTTCTTTCAGTTGTGGTTTTCCTGAACATCTTTAAGATACTTCTAACTATAAACTTTTTCATCTCAATAGTCAGCACTGCGGAGATGGAAGCCGAGCAGTGTAGAGTTCTCTCAATGAAGCCATACTACTACAAGCTGTTAATGAGGGAAGTTGGGCTTCCTGCACATATCAGTTGGATTTCTAGGGACCTCAAAAGATGCATCTCTAGCTTGGTTGGCAACAAAGGGAACTAATCTAAGTTGTAAGTTGGAAAAGAGGATTGCATATGTTAGCCTGTTCTTTCTGAGTAAAAGGTCAGGCAAAGGTGTGGATTACCACATATTGTTGGCAGGTGACTACATGATTGTGATGGATAGTATTGAATTGGTTCGGCATGCAGCACATAATAACAGGATCAGTAAAGGATGTGCTCAATAGATGTTCTCGTAGAAGCTAAAAGAGAGCACATAGGACATCGGATGTCGTCCCCCTAGTAATAATGTGTCATGTAAAAGGAAACACTGTAAAGGAGAGCAGGAGCTCTTGAAGGGAATCTAAAAATGCCTTTGTATACTTGAAGAATAGCATTTGTTCTCAGTTAATTTTTGTTGCACACACAAAAATATCCCTACTTATATAGAAGATTGTGTGTAATTTGAAGAGTACCATATTTTGGTTCAAGTTCTCTACTTTTTGGTAAAATACTTGTATATAAATACTCCATTTGTCCCAATTTCTGTGCCACACAAATGGTTAAGAAGTGTTTTAGACCACAATTTTAAAGTTCAGACTGAAAACCCAATGTACTGATCTACTCGTGCTATAAAAAGTCAGTCATCATTTCGCAGCATTATTCCGAGTTTTCTTTTGTTTTCACTTTGCTATTGAACTGAAAAAGATAAAAATCCTTTGTACCCATAATAGCATAGATGAAAACAACAACATAGTGGGAATCAGGAGAGTAGTGTGTACACAGACCTTACTCCTCCCTTATTTCCGATAAACCCTCAGCAAAATTAAAACCCAAGACCCACAAAGACTTACAAACACAATTGAACATCTGGGTAACTGTCCAAACACTAAAAACTCAACCCAAAAAGAGAATACAAACAATTGAAACATTATTACCTGTACAAGTTCAAAATACAACACAAAACAAGAAGGAGAAGTACAACATACAGCTTCTGGTTTGCCGATGAGTTTGGCAACAGTGGAGGTAGCTTCAGAAAGTACGGAGGAAGTATCAACTCCTTCCAAGTTCACATTTGTAGAAATGTTAAGGCACGGCATTTTCTTCTTCTTCTTCCTTGGCTGTTCTCGAGTCACTGTGAAAAAAACCCTCAAAATTTGGAATCTCACACAATGCAAATTCGTTTTTTCTCCACCAAATAAAAAGAAGATTGTTTTTTTTTTTTGAGAAATGTGTGTTTTGCACCCCTAAGTTGTATACCTTTTGCAATTTGCTTCATTGATGTTTTTTGTTTTACTGAATAAACCCCTAACTTCTTTTAATTTTTCCTTTTATATTCGTAATAAAGAAATCGTAACGTCAAATTGAATTGAAGAATCAAATTAAATCAAAAATATATCGTAACAGCAATTTCGATCAAAATTAAAGTATATATATATATATAATTTATTTTATTTATAGCTAAAAAATATTACTCCTTCCGTTTAAAAAAGAATGTTCATATTTCCTTTTTAGTTTGTTTCAAAAATAATGTCCCCTTACTTTTTTGGCTAAACTTTAACTTTTCACGTGGCATGTTTAAGACCACAAGATTAAAGGGCAATTTGATACATTTGACATAATTTTAATTTAGAACCACAAAATTAAAAAGTCTTATTTCTTTTCTTAAATTCCGTTTCGAGTCAAACTAGGTCATCCTTTTTTAAACGGAGGGAGTATTTATAATCTACTTTATTGATATATTTTTAGTTAGTTTATAGTTTTCAATGTTTATATATAATATATTTTATTTAAAATTTGGGTTTGTAAGATTGTAAATATTTTATTTTGTATTAAGATCCGAAGTTACAATCATATTGTTATAGTTTTTCAAATTTGAAGTTAACAATTTACTTTGTAAATATTTTGTTTTGTATTAAGTTTTCTTCTAGCCTTTAAGATTATTAATTTAATATAATGAACGTTGATATTTCAAAAAAAAAATATTTTTTACTCATGTGAATTTTTACCGTTTTTTTTATAAATTTCTATTCATTTAACATTTTTAAGTTTAGCTTGTAAAAAAAATATTTGACATCTTTTTCAATAAACCACAGAAAATTGAAATTTTTTTTCGAAAAAACTGACTTTATGTGGTTTGATTTGATTTTTTAGATTTAATAAACTGACATAATTAATTAAGATTTCTTTAATGAACAAGCGAACCAACCTATGTACACCCTTATTAGTAATGACTAATGTCCTCAAATCAACGGAGATTATCATTTTAACTTATATAAATAATAAAGAGAACTAGAGAAGTGGTGAAGTAGTAGTTTGTTTCTAATTACTCCATTCGTTCATCTTTAATTGTCATGTTATACTTTTTGAGAGTTTCATTTGACTATTTTTCAAAGTTAAATTATTATACTAATTTGATATTTTAAATAAAAAATTTAGATATTCAAAATTCTATACAAAAAGTACTATAAGTTTAACTTTTCATATACTCATGAAAAAATGCATGATAAAATGTGAAACCATGACAAATAAAAATGAATGGGAGAGTATTGAAGTTTTAAAATACTTTTCTACTTGCTTAACTAAAACTTAAATACATTCATAATTTTACCACATGACATGCCAAGTGATTTCAACTCTCAAATCCTTGTTTGCATAGGTGAAACTTTTAATAAAAAGGCGATAGACTTCGTGCCTTATGTCTCGTGAGTTCAAGGCTTAAAGCATAATACAATGCGGCTAGAACTCACAACTTTCGGGTTGGAAGTGAGGGGTACTTACCATCCGAGCAACTCTCTCTCATGAATCTGAATGTAGTCGACACTACTTTTACGAATCCCTTAAACACCTTAATGAAGTTCCTCTTTTAGCTTTTTTTTTCCTATCTGCTTCTCCTTCCCATTCAGTAAAACAAAAACACATAAAAGATAATCTGGTGTTTGTTTTTGGAGTTGAAAAGATAATTGCACATAGCAGTACTGTATTTTACTACTAGACACATTATATAATTAGAGTTTAAACTAAAATCATGTACTATGTGTCTATTTTCTCAAACCAGCATTGATTAGTATCATGTACTGTGAGAAAAGATATATTATTTACACGAAAGGCAACGCCAGGTTCCCAATTCTTTCAACATGTTGGACATTATTGCGTTTTTTATGTTTAATGCTCTGTGATAGAAACGACTAAGTATTTGATCATCAAAAACCTCCAAACACTCAATACCCTGATTTTATGATAGACAAGTAGTTTAATGATGAAAAAACAATTAAGTATTGTGAACAAGTTTTGCCTTAGAAAGAGGCTGCTGAGAACTGTCTGTAATACAGTCATGCTACTACAAAGCTATACCATCCATTGGCTATAAGCTTGACCATTTTCTGTTTTCTTATACGGAGGAAAAGTTCACGGAATGTTTAAGATGATTTCAAGCTTTTATGTCTATCCACTAGAGCAAAACAGCAGATATTGAACAATTGAGTACTTAAGAATGCACATTTTAATCTTCCTCCAAAACTATAGCAGAGGACAAGCACCTTTTCCTGACACCACTCAAGTTGGTTATTTCCCAACCTGTGCCTTCCTTGTAACGTTCAATCTACAATAACAAAGAGTAGTATCGATTAACAGAACCACATAGATAATAGAATCTATGCATAGCAAGACAATGAAATGAATAATATTATGTACCGTGTCTAGTACTTCATTATCGGATTGAGCCCCTCCAATGACATAAATGGACTCCTTTAGAGCAGCAGCAGCTACATAAACCCTTGAGTAGTTCATAGGTTCCCCAATCATCCATGTTCCCTGACGGGGATCATATATCTCAACGCTTGGCATTATTTGAGATCCATCAGAGCCACCAAGTGCATATCTAAAGAACAACCATGAAGCTAAAAGTGAATAACAAGAAGAAAAATGGGACCAAAGATATAGACTGCAAAGAAGCGAGAAGAGGTCAACATACAACTTCCCCCCCAAAGGAACCAATGCATGATATGCTCTTTTTGTGGTCATACTCTCAATTTTTGTCCAAGCATGTTCTCTGGGGTCAAACCTTTCAGCAGTCCTGTGGTGAAAGCTAATAAGAAATATGCTACAGGAGAAACACAGCAGAAAACTGAAAAACAAGACTCAACTACTCTTCCTATTCAATAAAATAAAAGAAGTTGCAGATTTCTATCAGAACAACTTTAGCACTAAAAAAGACCGCGTTTTGGAAAGCTACAAGCAACTCTCATTTCTCAGGTAATGAAACCCAAATGTCAAGCTCCTTTGGGGCATACATTATAAAGAAATAAGAGAACAGCAATTCAGTAATAACTTACGCCAAATATTTGTCTCCATCAAATCCACCAACAGCATATAATGCACCATTGAGTTCTGTTGCTGCAAGAGAAAATCGCTGCATGAATGGTAGACAATCACGTCAGAGGAGATTATATGAGCACTTTGAACAAGTAAGTCTAAAGTTGTTCACATGCTTTTTGTCCCTTTAAATATATCTCTATCGAAATTTAAGCAAGGAATAGAATTGACCTTCTGCCGCATGGATTGTGAAGGAATCCATCGACCTACTTGAGGATCATACATTTCAACTTCTGCAAGGTATTCAGTCCCATTTCCACCACCCATTGCAAATATCTTGTCCTTCAAAGTAGCTCCAGATAAGTTACTCTTTCTATTTTTCAAATTAGAATGCACAGTCCACATATCATTGGCTGGGTTATATGATTCAGCTTCACAAGAATAGAGTGGCATCAGTATCAGCAACTTAAGAGAAAGGGGGAGTAGGGTATGTGAAGGGAGGGACTAATGGCATTACCTGTGTTGTCCCACAACTTCTCAAATTTGCCACCAAATACATAGACTTCTCTATTCAGATTTGCAATTGCAAAATACGACCGAAATGAACTCATTGGCTTAAGTGGCTTTAAAACATCACCCAAAGGTGATACAAGTCCAAGGCCGATAGCCAGCGAGTACCATCAAATCCTCCAGCTAGGATGATTGATTCATCACACAATATATCGGCTGACTCAACCACATTTTTACTATCGTGTGTACGAGAGCGATTTGTGGACTCCAACATCACACATCTACCTTTTAGCAGTCCGATTTCTTGTGCATTAGCCTGAATTCCATGTGAAGACAAGGAAATAAAAAAGGAGGAAAACATCAGATTTTCACTTCTGCAGACACATCATGTATTCAAGTAGGTATGAAGAAAACAAAAATCAGTAAATCATTTAGAAACAGAACAGAAACGATATGTAGCATCAAATTGGATAATTATTGAAATCGGCATAAGAATACAATCATCAACTATCATTGATACATACATCCTTTTTTCAATTTGATAAAGCCTTATGGATCAAGAACCTAAGGTCTTTCCCTTTTGGTCAAGGGACGTTTTCTGATTCCTCCCAAACAACAATAAGAGTGTCCTAAACATGGAAAAGTCTGTATAGGATGCAAAGACTTCTACAAAGTAGGATATAGAAACAATATTTGCAGAAGCAAACTTATACCCAACCTGAAGAGTCTTCGAAAGTAAAATAAAACTCAATATGAGCTAAGATGCTTTCTTTACTGTATAAGATGTATATTTATAATAATAATCCCCTCCACACAGATCAGCCCTATCCCTCGGATAAAGCGTATAATCTCTCCTATAAATAATCAATTTCTATTAGTTTTTTATTAACTCTTTGTACAGTAAATAGCAACTAATGTTCAATAATACTTTTCCCTCTCAAGTTACATACCTGAAATTACATGATAATAATCTTATTATTTCCTCTTTTAGAAATCATACTAACATTTCTTTGGTATATCATCCTGAATCTTGAAGTCACCAAATTCTATGGCTTAATTATTATCATGATTTCGTCTAATTTAAAAGAAGAAGCAGAATCTCAAGCTCCTTTTTTGAGTTTGCTTATCTTGTTCAATGATTACCTACTTATAAGCTACGATAGTCCTAATTTTGTTACAAAATTCCTTTTTATCACCTATTGATATCTTGGTACTAAAAGATCCTATTTTTGTTTGCAGATCTTATTCCAACATATATATAAAGACTAGGAACTTTTTTTTAAAATGTCACTCTTCCATTGTTTTAGTATAGAATTGATATGTCACCATAAGACCGAAATTATACACAGAGATAATAAGGTTTACCAGCTTCTTCTCCAGGCCAGTCATTTTTTGGGCTTGCTCTTCCTTGAAAGCATTCAGTTCTTTCACTTCTTTCACCAGCTGCAACAACAGAGATATTGAAGTCATATAAGATATCAGAAATTCTATCATGGTTAATGAAAATTGGCACGTATTACAAGAAGATGATGAACCTGAGCTACAAAAGGAGGACAACCAGCCAAGTCACAATCGCCTTCTTCATTATTCTCTTCTCCAGGAGGTTGTTCCATCAAACCTTCTTGATCAATCCTAGCATCATTATAACTTATCCCTTCATTGGTGTTTTCCTCTGCATGCCCTTTTCTTGAGAGCGCTGGCCATTCACGATTACGAGCTATTTCTTTAAGTTTCATATATATATAATTCTTCTCATCCACTGCACCTTGAGAATCAATGGAAATGGATTGCTTATATTTCAAGTTTTGCGGTTCAGAAAATCTATTTTCTGCAAGCTTGTTATTCGCAGGTGATGTTTGGATTATAGTTCTCCGGGGTGCTGGATAATTTGGTTTGCTACTCGGAGAATATGCATGGGATGACAGTTGTGATATCAATTTACTGGATTGAGCATGATCTAGCTCAAACCAGAAATGATATTCCTTAAAATAGTTCTCCTGAATTATTGGTCTAAAAACATCTTCTGGCAGTGGTTCGCAATGCAGACGGACACGTATCTGAACCTTCAAAAGAAAAAGTGAAGTTTCAGTAGAAAAATCCTTCCTATAATATAACACCAGCGCGTCAGTTGACTGATTCAAAAGTATGATTCTGTTAGTGGCAGTACTTTTAGTTATGTTTCCAGTTAACTAGCTCTAGAAGTCCTAATTAGTTGATGTTAGTGAATAGTGAGTTAGCAGGTCATGGGTTAGTGCTAAACTAGATAGTGCCCTATTTTTTCTCTAGCATTGTTTCTTTCCAAGTTCTATTTCCTCGCATATCAGCAGCTGAGACTTCCAAACAAGCATGGAGATCCTGAACCAAGAGAACTTCGGAGATGATAAAGGTAATTACTATTAAATTACAAACTCTTTCACGTGATTTTAAAGCATTTTTCATGAATGAAAATGAATCTGTGCAAGGATATTTGTCTAGAACATCTGCTATGTTAGGATGAGGTCCTATGGTGAGAAAATTGATTAATCAGATTGTTGTGTCTAAAGTGCTGAGAAGTTTAACCACCAAATTTGAGCATGGTGTTACTGTAATTGAGGAATTTAAGGACCTATCTACCTATTCTTTCAATGAACTAATGAGTTCCTTGCTAGCTCATGAAGATAGGATAAATAGGTCCCTGAGAAAGTTCAAGAGAAGGCATTCCAGGCTAAGGGGGAAGTTTGGCTACAAGGGAAAAGCAGAAAACTCAGCACGGCATGGACATGGCAGAGGTAATTTTCGTGGTCAAGACCATGGTGGTAGCGGCAGAGGTAGAAACCAAATTGGTGAATTCCGTCAGTACAAGAGCAATATTCAATGTTTATACTGTTAGAAATTTGTCCACAAAGAAGTTGACTGTTGGACGTAGCAGAAAAATGAGCAGAAGGAAGCTAATTTCACTCAAAATGTGGAAGAAGAAAGTAAGTTGTTTATGGCTAGTTCCCAAATTCTGAAAGTGCAAATGTTGTGTGGTTCATTGATAGAGGATGCTCAAATCACATGTCAAGTTCGAAGTCTCTATTCAGAGATCTTGATGAGTCTCAGACTAGTGAGGTGCGACTAGGAGATGACAAACAAGTGCATGCTGATTTGTGCGGACCAATGAAAATGGAATTCCTTGGTGGAACTCGAAATTTTGATGTTTACTGATTATTACAGCTGTTTTAGTTGGGTTTATTTCTTGAAATTTAAATCTTAAACCTTTGAGAATTTCAAGAAATTTAAGGCATTTGTAGAGAACCAAAGTGGCAACAAGATAAAATCACTCTGTACCGATAGAGGTGATGAATTCAGTCTAATAATTTTAATTTGTTTTGTGATGAGAATGGAATTCGCAGGGAACTTACAGCACTATATACACCAGAACAAAATGGTGTGCCCGAGCGGAAGAATAGGACGGTGGTGGAAATGGCTCGAAGTTCAAAGGGCCTGGCAGATTATTTTTGGGGAGAAGTTGTTGCAACTGATGTATATCTTTTGAATATCTCGCCACAAAGGTTGTTTGGAACACGACAACTCTTGAAGCTTGGAATGGTAAGAAGCCCCACACTTAAGCATCTTTGGTTGTATAGCATATGCTCAAGGGCGGCTCTACAGCTTTGCAAAAAAAAGCAATCGCCTTAGGCCTCCAAATTTGAGGGGCCTCATTTTTTTTTAAAATAATATGTTATAAGTTTTTTTTAAAAAAATAATATTGAGTATTATTTGTAGAAAATAATTTTTTTATATAAAAGAGTAAAGAAGTAATAGAAGTTTGACAAATTACGAATACTATGTCTCAAGAACGATTAAATTATTGACTATAATAAACCTTATAAAAATATATATTCAAATTTAAGGCCTCCATTTGGATTTGGCTTTAGGCCACCGATTTACTAGAGCCGCTCCTGCTGATATGCTTTGGTTAATTTTCACTCTAAGCTTAGATGAAAAATCTACAAAATGCAGTTTTGTTGGCTTTAGTCTTCAATCCAAAGCATATCGTTTATATAAACTGGTAAGACGGATAGTAATCATAAGTAGAAATGTTGTGTTTAATGGGGTGTTTCACAACCTCAAGGCTTTATGATTACTAGCAACGAGAATAAAGACTACAAGTTAAGAAAAGCTCTTTACGGGCTAAAGCAAGCTCCACGTGCATGGCATAGCAACATTGACTCATTCTTTCAAGGCGATTTAGAAGAAGTGACAACGAGCCCACTTTGTACTTGAAGAAACAAGGTACTGACAAATTTTTGTTGGTCTGTCTCTATGTTTCCAGGTAACTACCTCTAGGAGTCCCAATTCGTTGATTTTAGTCTGTTAACAGGTTAGTGCTAAACTAATGCCCTATTTTTTCTCTCCGAGTTCCTTTTGACTTGAAGCTTTGTCTTCTGAAGTAATAGAAATAGATCAAGTTTCGCTCTGTTAACATCTTATTTGAGTAGTCGTTCATATCTTTTACCAACAAGGCATGCATCAACATAAGCAGATAAAGCCAAAAAGAAACAATGATATGAAACCTGTGCAGGAAATGGTGTTCTTTCATCACCATCTTTATTCCAAGCATATGGATTGATTAGCATTTGACCAGAACTTGCAGCCTCAAAGATTCCGTGGAGCTTCTTATCGTCGTAATTGAACAAGAACACTGGCAAACCAGGACTTACATTTTTCACATATGTAAAGTGTGCTCTAGGCGAACCTGTCAAAGATTTTAAAATGTATATAATTGAGTAACAACAACCCCAATTGCCTATCGAAGGTCAATATATTAGGGCCGAACAACTGACCTACTAGTTGCTTTTCGAGACACTCTCTTATTGTATCATTCTTGCACCCAAATATAACACCGCCTAGTTGATCTCTTGGCAGATTTCGAAATGTTTTTTCCTTTGCCCACATCCTGAAAAATCCATATGAACAGAACTAAATCATCATCAGAGCTGTAAATGAAAAACTAGAGCTACTACTATAATCAAGCTACACCAAAGCACAGGATTTAGACCATCAAAACAATTAGTACCAACGAGACCTCAAATATAAATTTCAACAAAGCATGTCCAAATTCACATCAACAGCTACATGTTGGAACTAATACGGAAAATACCTTCTTGACGAATATGATAGATTAAATGAATTTTAAGGAATGAATCTTAGACAACAATATGAATTTTTCTATATGAGATACTAGGATTATTTTTCCTTCACTAAATGCATATGATACAACTCAAGATGAATCAAAATTCGACGACTTAAACACTAAAATCAAACAAGGAAAACTTTCACAGAGACTAAAATCGCTCAGCAGAAAGTACAGAGGAATCACGCCTGATCAATTACAAGTCCGTAAATACGAGGATATATTACATAGAGAGACAATCACAGTAGCAAAAATCGACAAAATGTACACTTACCAAATCGATGATCAGACAGTTATCTCAACCAAATATACCTATAGAATCAACTTCAATTGTATCGAAATCGAATTTACAGTAACAACTGGAGAAGAAAAGGGAATATTACCTGAGAGAATTCTGAGAAATTTAGAAAATTTTCACTTTTAAAACTAAAAGACGCGCGAAATTGCACTTCCAAGTACTTGATAAAACAAAATAACACACCCAACTAACCAACTGTACATTTTTTTATTTTTTTTTAACTTTCTTATGTTAAATTTTTATTTATTTGGAAAATATTCTACAATTTATATTTCACATTTTGATACTTTATGGAATTTACTTTAGGAATTCAAATTTATTTGATTATTTTAAAATTCAAATGATTTTTTTAATTTCAGTTTAAATATATCATTTTTTGATTGAAGAAATTACAATCAAAATAAGCTCTAATTGAATTAGATTTATTAAGTTAGATTTTGGATTAGTCAACTTGAACATTTCATATTTTTTATTTCGATTCTCGAGATCCTAAGATAATCCATAACAATTAACAACTTCAGTTCATCTAATATTTTGCCCCTAAGATAAGCCATAACAATTAACAATTTTAATTCATCTATATTTTGCTCCTAAGAATATACAAATTTCTACCGTTAATAAGGACAGAGAACATTATATTTCCATCGTGTAATATAATTTCATATTGGACTTGACATTACAATGGTAGGGCCTTGGAGTACTGATCTATTGAATCTTTACAAATTAAACTTATTAATATTGAAAACATATGATATGGATATAACATAATAATTTTTGATTTTCACAAGTCTGAAAATTGTAATACTAAATCTGATATCCAATCAAAATTTCATACATTTTAAAAGTAAAAATTCAAGTTCAATCCATAATCCAAAAATTCAAATCAAATAACTACAAAGTTCGGATTTCAAAATGACCAAAACCATGTTCACACCTAATTTTAGATGATTTAGTCACCTTTGGTCATGGATGGGTCCAGTCTATGCAATCAGTGGCGGAGTTAAAAATTTCACGAAAGATATTCAATTGAACATGCTCTACTCAAAGGTGATTTTTTTTTTTTGCAACTAGTAAGATTCGAAGACATAAACACTTAAGTTCGTGTGTCTTTACTCTTTCAAGGCGCCTAAAATAACTAGATACAATTTATATATTTATAAATTATAAATTTTTTAAGACTCATTTATCAATTTTATTTATTCTTAAGCACTAGTTTTACAAATGATAATCTTCTTTCCCCAAATCTATGAAATGTAAGTTCATTTACTAGGAGCACTACGATAAATTGACAATCTAACAAAGCTACATTTACATTTTGTGCCTACATTTGGAACAATTTACTTAATTAGATTGGAACAATTTACTTAATTAGATTTAATCATGATGAATTGATGAGTTGATGTATAAGTAAGTAGTAATCTAACCTTAATGGATTTTTCCGAGGATCCTCTGATCTATTCATGAAAAGATGTCGGCGATTGGCGGTGAGTTTTCAACAGAACACTCTTGACGGAAGTCTCACGATTTCTAACCTAATTTATTTATTGATAAATTTGGCTGACGGTCCAGAATAAAATGTAGATAAATATTTTCCTTTTGAACAAACCATCCAAACCTACCTAATGTGGGGGCATGTAATACTTCTGATCGCAAATTAATTGGTAAATTCTCCTTTTGTTCCTAATTGTGATATATGACTCAATATATTTATTCTTAAATTAATTTAAGTGTGTGTTATTGCCTGTTGGTTCCTTTAATTATGTAGAGCATGGTATATTTAATTTTACTAGTCTCTATACACGTGCATTGTACGTGTATTCTGTTTTAATTAGTACATAAAATATTAAATGATATAGATGCTAGTAAAACTTGGAAGTAAATTGATTAACTAAATTTTGAAAGAGAAGTTTTATTCTTTGTAGTTATAAGCAATAAATTGAATTATTACATGTGATATTTCTCTTATATATTTCTAATATATCTTATACTTAGTACAAAACTATAGTTACATTTTTTTGTACCTACATTTGAAAAAATTTACTTAGATTTAATCATGATGAATTGGTATAAGTTGATATGTTTTTCTATATAAGTAGTAATCTAACATTAATGGATTTTTTGGAGAATCCTCTCATCTATTCATGAAAAAAAATTGGGGATTGACGGTGGATTTTTGAGCTGAACAATCTTGACGAAAGTCTCAAAATTTCTAACCTAATTCATTTACTGATAAAATTCAGTTGATGATCCTGGATAAAATGTACATAAATATTTTCCTTTTGAATAAATCATTTAAACCTACCTAATGTGAGGGGATTAAAATACTTTAGATTCCAAAGTAATTGGTAAATTCTCCTTTTGGTCCTAATTGTGATATATGAGTTATGACCCAATATATTTTTTAATCGGTTAATTTAAATGTGTGTTATTGCCTATTGGTTCCTTTATTTATGTAGAGAACATGGTATTTAACTATACTAGTTTACAGGCACGTGTGTTACACATGTGCTCTGTGTTAATTAGTATAACAAAAATTAAATGATATCAATGTTACTAAAATTTGCAAGTAGTATTGAGTAACTAAATTTTGAAAGAGAAGTATAATTGTTTGTAGTTATACACAATCAATTGAATTGGTACATGTGATATTTTTCTTATATAGTTCTAATATATCTTATACTTGGTACAAAATGTCCCTATGTTTTAAATATTTCCACAACAAATAGTTTATAGAACTGATCTTGATGCTTAGAAAACTGAAAATGATTAAAAGTCATGTTGGAGGAGGTGTAACTCGTAACTATTTACAATATTTTAATTTAGTGTAAAGGTAAAAAGATAATTTAACTTTGCACTTTGGTGCTTCTCACTTGTGTTGCACGTTTGTCCCTTGTAATTACTATAAAATGAATGCATACTTAAAAAATTGAATTTCAGAATAGAAAATATATTTCTATTGCACGCTACTTAGTATAAATATTCGTAAATTATTTAAATACAATTACAATATGTATAAATAGTTATTCATAAAATTAAGTAATCAAAAGAGAAAGAGTGTAACACCAAATTAGCTAATGAATTCGAAAATAAAATGAAATAGAGTAGATTAAAAACAATAAAATAGCTAATAAATTCTAAAACTTTTAAATAACAAAATTAAAGAGAGAAATAGTTCTAGTTTATAAGAATAGAGGAACATCCTCAATAACTAACAAAAATATAAACAGATCTATCTCTTTTTTATTGCATATGTGATGAACAATTGCATTCATCAACAATTATCCATCAATAATCATACATTAGAATAACAAAGCGTATGCATCAACAAAAAGTAATTGTGTTGAACAAAACGTAATTATACATCGAAATAACTAAGTGTATGCATTAATATAAAGTGTTTTTGAAGATAATTTTTTGGTATTTATAGTTACAAGTTTGGAATTGTAAAATTCATTTAAAAATTGATGATATACATAACGTCTATGAGAATTAGATTGTTTAAAGTTGAGAATATGTAAAGTTTCTTACTAAAATTTAAATATGTGTCATATTAAGATGTATGGTAATTCAAAGGACATTTTTGTTCTTTAATGTTAAAGGATATTTCGAATATAATTTACTGTCTTTTGTTGTTACGAAACACTTCATCTACCGAACTATATTTTAGAATAAAAAACAAATTAAGCATTTCTTTAATTAATCCTACCTAGAAACATAATGGATTAATACCATATAAGTATTATTTAAGTAATATTTTATTAATTATTTCTTTAATAATATTTAAATTAGTAAAAGGGTAGAATCATAATCCTATTTTAAAGTTAAAATCTTTTCACTTGTAATAAAAATAATAATAATTTCTAGACTCTCCCTGCGCTCGTTTGCCTATATCAGTCAATACACATTTTTTATAAAAAAAAGTATAAAGATTATTAATAATACGAAAAAGGGCCTAAAATACCCTTGAAGTATTGAAAATGGTACAAAATTGTCATTCATCCACCTATTGGCTCCAAAATGTCTTTTTCATCCATCCATTGGCTCCAAAATACCCCTGTGATCCACCTTTAGGTTCAAAATTGACAACTTCTTTAATTGTTTTAAAATCAAACTCTTTAAATATTTTTTAAAATACTTGACGTTCAACTATTGGTTATAGTTTAATTTATTAATATAACTAGTGAACTTAGCCGCGCTTTGCGAGATCAAAATTATTCGTTAAATCTGCTAAATAATTAATTTTTTGAATATTTAATTATTAAATATATTTCTAAAGATTCTTTATAGTCTTTAATCTAAATATATCAAATTTTAAGTCTTAATTAAGTTTATTATTAGTACTTAAATTTTATATCTTTTGTAATTTGAAATCGCTTAAGAATTTTTGAAATTATAAAAAAAATCCTAAATTTATTCTCTTTATTTTAATAAGAAAAGTAAATTTTAATGTAATAAGTTGAACTCTTTATGAAATTTAAATTTAATTTAATAATATAATAAGTTTAATGTAAATATAGTTTTTTTCTAATATTTATTCTTTTCCTTCAAAAGTATTACACTTTCCTTTAGTAATGAATTTTTTTTTTCATCTTTCACTAAATCTTAGATTATGAAATGTTTGTAAATCATTTTCTATCTTGACTAATTTTACTACGATTATAATATACTGCCTATTATTTATATAAAAATGAATAGATTGAAAGATAAATAGTCTCAATTACGTAAATAATATAAAGTATTCAAATAAATTAAACCCAAATTATATATATATGTATTAACTAAAATACAACTTTAAACTTACCTATATTTTAGTTACAATTTCTAAATTATTCTAAAAGGTAAACATAAATAAAAATTGTGAAATTTCCTAATCCTCAAAATTGATTTCATTATTCAAAATAAAATATATACAATGTTGAAACCATTAAAAAAACCTTAAAAGATAATAAACAAAACGATTCAAGTCTTCAAAGTTAAAATTAATATACCTGAAATTTCAATAATATTATTTAGTGTAGGTATAAATAATAATTAGATAAATTAATCAAAGATTCCTTGTTGGAGTACCAAAGAAAATTAAAATAAATTAAAATTAAACAAATAAACAAAATAATCTTTGTAGGAATACCAAAGAAAATTATCCTAGCCTCTAATTATTCAATTTGTACACACTCTCAATGTTCACTACACCATTTGAAGATTA